AAAGTTATTGACTTCTGATTAAAAATGAAAATAAATAGAGTTGATCATGTCTACTGTGTTGACGAATGAATAATTTTTGAAATTCTTATGAAAATTGCCATAATAAATCATATCCTCCCGTTATACTATTTATTTATTTTTAAAATATGTAGTAAGATTGTGATTCGAAAAGTTGGCGAAAATTTTGAACACAATGTAGTTTTTATAAGAATCATGCTTCAGCAACCAATTTTCTTTGTTTATAAGTCGCATTCTTTCTACCCTCGTTCTTTTGAAAGCCCACAATTAAATTTTGCTCAAATTTTCAAAGTTTAATGGGAATACGTACCATTCGTAAGGGTTCATTCAATTTTAAAGAATAGTTTGTTGAAAACGTGACGGTCTCTTACAAACAAATTAAGCAATTGTGCGCATATAATTATTGTATTTGAATAATTTTACAATTTGGATGGCAGATTACAACTATAGCACACACGATTTAAACTACTTTCCATTTAGTATTTTAACTACTTACTGTCTCAATGGGATCTCAAATTGAATATGATTCTTGCCACCATTCTAGATTCTAGCTTTGGCAAACTCTGTTTTTGAGTAATTGCTACAGAGAAGAATGGCGTAGGAATCGGTGGACTAACGGACACAAATCGATGTCAGAGTTCGATGTTAAGCCAGATTATATTCAGATATTTATATTTTACAGTAAGTACTATTTCTCCTGTAATCGTGATGGTAAATTTATGATACACGTGTAATTCATTTATTAAGTACAATACTACAATATTATATAAGGCATAATCATACAGTGTGAAACATTAAATTTCATTTTCAATTTTCAGAACGAATGAAAATGTGTATGGAAGTGTGTATATGTATAATAATTACGCTTACTCTTATAAATTTATATTAATATTTTAAGAACATTTGAAGGTTATTTAAAAGCAATTTGATTAAAAAGTTTAATATATTCGAATATTATGTAACAATTATCTGAAAATAGAGTTAAATTAAATTTAGTGGATTAATTTGAGTAAAATTAAGTTTAACAACAATTTTGGTCACAATTTGAATTCTGTTAATCCTTATTGAAATTCGGATTAAGTAAAAAACATATGAAAATGAAGATATTAATAGATTAAATTAAAAATAATCGCTGGCAAGTATAAAAAACATGGTATGAACTACAAGTTATATGAATGCTGATGTTGTAAAACAACCAGGCGTACGCACGTTGGGGTTGTAAATTATTATAATAAATTTGTATGCAAGTTATCAATATTGATATAGCGGAAAAGACAGGTATATGTACAGTATGAGGTTGGAAGTTTCAAGTTACGAATACTAATGCTGATCCCTTTCTAAATTGATTTAAATTAAAGGTCACCTTACAATCAAAAGTAATTTTAGTCCAATTTAAGTGAATTTTAACTACAATTTTCCAAATTTACTTAAGTAAACGAAAATTAATAAAACCTAAATATTTGCATTTCCCTCTCTTTTTAATTAAGTGTAAATACATGATTAAGTCCGATAATTGTAAGAATCTTTTTTACTTTATTTATTCAACACTTAGAAATGTTATAGTACCCAATATTTATTTTCTAGTAGCTAAATTATATTTAATGTAGAATTATTGAGGCATTAGATTCACAAATATCGTAAAACACTTTTGCCTTTTTATGATTCATTTACATTTTAATTAAGATTTAAATTTTTAATATAAATTAATATTAGTATTTATTTTAAAAATTTTTAATTTGTTTTAGAATTTGCGACTTTTATGTCCGTTTTTCTTTCATATTAAATTCTATGTTATATCTTTAATATCCGATTCTATAAAAATTTAAAATATAAAAAAGGAATGTAAGATAAGATTAGAGATATAAAAAAAAAATCATTTTTATATTTAGAACATTTGTTTTTTATTTCCTGAACAGATAACCGGTCAAAATGAACAAATTTTGTGCAAAATTTAAGGTATACAGAACTGAATTGAATTTTAATATTTGGTATTAGAAAACAAAAATTCTAATATTTTTCATTATTCAATTATCTTCTAAAAATTGTTCTGATTTATACAATAACATTGCGCTACTCTATACTTTAAAAATGGTCCATCTACATGAACGAATTTTAAGCAACTTTCCTATACATTTCGACTAGAACTACACGTTCAACATTGTTTAATGGAATTAAATCGATGCTGAATTTTCTTCCAAAAGAAAATAATTTAATAATAAAGGAACCCAATTTACATGTTGAAGCAGATTTATAGTTAAATTATATTAATTAAAAACTAAAATTTGATTTGTGACAAATTTAGTTCATATTTATTTATGTAACATGCTTGTAGAATTTTAAATTCGAATTTGTCTAATAATTTTTTATACAAGTTCTACGAAATAATTAATTTACAAATGTTACTTATAATAATCATTAATTAAAGCTGCAATGCCCAAACGATTGTAAATAGTTGTGATACAAAATCTAAAATAAGAAATATTTTAGAGGCACTGTATGAAAACTATTTGTATTTTAGAGGCACTGGTTGAAATATTTAAGAGGCACTGTAGGAATGTGAGAAATATTTTAAAGGCACAGTATGAAACCAAAACGTTTCGTTTTTCTTACAAATTTTTGATTATTCATAAAAGTAAGAAATAATTGCAAAAAAGAATGTTTATTTAAACGTCAAATATTTGTAAAACATTTTAGAATCTCTAACTAAATATTTTCTTATTTATTTAACCTGTTGAAGATACAAATATATTCATAGTTAATAGGTTTGTAAACAAATAAAGAACGAATGACAAAATTATTGAAACAGACTTAAAAAATTTGTAGAATAAAATTAATAGCAAAATTTTTTTTTTTTAAGAATATATTTCATTTTTATCGGAAAAATGCTATTTTAATTAATAATATGAACTCATAATGGTAAACAAACTTATAAACAACCATGCACCAAATATATACTTACATACATATGTATGTATTGAGCATTTGCAATAAATTTTATATTTTTCCTTCATAATTATGTATAGATAATTATTTCACTCAAATATAAGGAATAATTTTAAGCATTAGAAAATTAGAAGTTTGAAATATCGTACTTTTATGGCATGTTCTGTTGTCTCTTATGTTTAATAATCTGAAAATTTTAATCACTAAAACTCCATTAGCCAATACTGTGTACAAATAAATTATTTAACGATTTACATATTAGAAGAAGGGATTGTGACCTTTCAATTCTAATTTAACTCTAATAAATTTCATGAAACTTTAGTGTTCAGTGAACTTAATACAAATTTTTTTTTCAACTCTTTAATCATGCATTATAAACCTAAATGTTCATCTTAAATTATTGTTCTTATTGTTTGGGTCACAAAGCTATTTTTCTTAAAAATTGTAACTTTCTTACAAACTACAAGTTTAGTTTCTAATTTGTACTCGTTTAAAACTTAAAATTGCAACTCTTTGATCTATTGCAATCGTTGCTATTCTGTTATGCAGAAAATAATGCATTAATATCTTTTCCAATAGGTTTGTTTGATTAGAATTAGTACACCCTTATAAAGAACACATCCACGTCGTTGGAACTACAAGGATTCATTAATTTTTTGCAAATTAAATTTATGCAAGAAAAGCTTGTATATGTATAAGTATATATTACGTTACAGTTTTAATGTGAAAATGTATAAATATATATTTTCTTGCATAAAGCTCAGCATAAAACTCTGAGTTCGTCTTATCGCAAAATAACTCAAAAACGAATAAAGCAAACACCACCAAACTTTCGGAAATTGCTTGCTTTCTGTAGAAGACCCATACTATTGTAATTGATTAAATTCAAAGAACGGGTTCAGGTGCTATCATGCAACTCAAGGGGATTATTTTAAAAATTTCAAAAAATTACTTCTTTATTCAGATTATCATGGTATAATTTAATTGGCGTTAGACGAATCAAAGGCACTGAAACATTTTTGTTTGTTTATTTTAAATTTCTGCAATTTTTAGTTGATCATCTAACAACACTGCATATTCGTAACAATTAGTTTACTAAATTGCAAAAAATTATTGCATTATATGAATAATTCTAATACATAAAGCACCACCAAACACATATGTATACGAATGTGTTTGTTTTAACTTTTAGTTGTTTCCGCAAAACTAAATACGAGTATATAGATAAACAATTTCTCTCTTTAATATTTTCGATATTATACAAAAATAAATAAAGAAATAAGATTTAATATTATAAAAATAATTAAAAAAAAAACTAATTACGTATTAGGAAAAATTTATAATTTATTTTTGAACTTGAACCAATAGAAATTTAAATTAGAAATCATTGCGTTGTTGTGATTCAGTTCACTCACATTTTGTTCTCTTATCATTTCACCAATTTAAATTATAACTTGTAATGGTAATTTGTTATTATTTCAATATACATACGTACTTATGTTCATATATATAAAAAAATTTTCTATAATTAGAAGCTTCTTTTTACGTAACAGAATAATTTATTTCCTTTATTTGATTAAAAATATGGAAATATGTATAGAATAACTCACAAATATTTATGAGAATCTTATCGTATGATTGCAATAAATATTCAATAAACGAATGATGCCATAAAAGAGAAGGGGTCACTTATTTTGAATTTATAAACTTTCATACAAAAAATATTATTTTAAAAATTTCAAAATAATCTGACAATTTCCACCGAACAACTACATACATAAAATAAGTATATTTTTTTAATAATTTCTGCAATTGTAGTTGGCTTTAAAATTTAATTATTTCTATTATTATTTTATATATATATCCTCAAAGATTCAAGGCAGACACAAAATTATTACGCGTGCAATATTGTTATACGAGTATAAACACACTTTTCTTATATTTATACATAAGTAAATGTGAAAGAATAATAAAATAATTTAGTAAGTAAAAAAATTTATTAATATAAAAATACTACGCAAGTAATTTTGTTTACTTACTTTTAATGATATCACTATAAAGAATCCAGATTAAGCAGGAAGATTCTGAAATAATAATGAGAAAAATTAAATTAAAATATTTTAATTTTTTTTAGAATTTGTTTTACAAAATTATGAAAATTTTTTATTATTTGCATCATTCAAAAGTTGTAATATATTATCAACAAATAAATAAATAGAAGGAAATATAGAAGGAAGTAAAAATTAGTAATTACTTTGTTGCGTATAGATACACATTTATATACATATATATATATATATATATGTGTGTGTGTGCATAAGGATGAAAAATAAAGGGAAATTAATTCGAAATGTTGCAATTGAATACAAATATTTTCGTATTGAATAATTGTGAAAACATTTAATAAATAGCAAAAAATGTTGATATTTTACTCCATGCCGTAAACACTTTAAAATTAAAATTGTAATATGCTTTCCAGAAAATTGCTTTAAATGAGTAAATTTCTATCCCTACTGAAGCAAATACATAATAATTGTCTTTTATTCCTCAATTTCAATATTTTTTCAGATAATATTGGAGATTTTCCCCGCGATGTGATTTAGGATCATTTGCTCCTTATAGAATAATAACAAAAATCTCTCTTCTGTTTCCATTATGACGAAAACTTATTTTTTGGTTGAGGACATGAAAATTTTGGAGAACATCCGTTCCATTAGGGAGACCATTTCTCTTGAAATGTACATAGATTTAATTTGATTTTTTAAATGATTCAATAATATTGCAGCATTTCTAGAACAATAACTTGTGAAACAAAATATGTTCGGTATTAACTACCGAATTTCAAAAATCAAAGTGCAAATATTCTGCTTATAAAAAATTTTTGGATGTGAGATTATAACTAATAAAATTTTTGTAAATAAAGTTATTAAGTAATAATTACTAATTATAGTAACAAAAAAAGATTATTTAAATCGATTATATACTATTTATACGACCGCCTATTATCGCCAATAATATTTTGAATTTAAATTAACAAATTATCAAAGAAACATGAGTGCGTACTTATATATAATTAATTATAGCCGCTATTCATTTTCAAAGCCGAAATAATTAATAAAATTAAATAATAAATAAAAAAAACATAAAGTTGCCATTATTCAGAAAATTTAGTTGATTAAGCCTAATGGCATATTATTGTAATTAGATACTCTTAGGTCTAATAGGTCATGCAACAGCAGTTGCGTGAGATATAAAGAATAGCTGCATTCTGTATACATTATACATTACTGTTGCTTTTTAAATTTAAAATCTTGATTTGTTGCACTAACAGCTACGAGCAGTTAATCTTTAAACTTAAGAGTTAATCATATATTGTACTCTTATTGTGTATGCATGACAGGATTAAATAATTTATTGCAATTTGGAATTAACAATTTAATTTTTTCTTTTCCAAATTTCTTATAGATATTCTTGAATAAAATACAAATTTAATAATTATTTTTGGAATTATGCCGTCTTCTAATTCTTACATAACTTTAAACTTCAATAACATAATGTCCTTGATAATTTTACCCCCAATAAAATACTTGTTTTGCGTATAGGTATATACAAAATTTCAAACAATAATAATAAAAAAATATAATAAAAACCTTAAATTCATAAAATAAAGTGTGAACGTTTACCCCTAAACTTTGTGTTTTATTTTTTCTTTTCATTTATTGAAATTATTTTAATCAAACAATTGATAAGGTTATCAATAAAATACAAAAAAAAAAAAATTACTTCAAATACATTTTCATACATACGTGCTTATTTAATGGTTAAGAATATTTTAATTTAAATTTTAGATAGTCGTCACTTATTCATGAAGTCATCAACCAGGGTCAACCGCAAAAAACCGAATAAAAATGATAATGAAAAAACAAAAATAAAAATATGATAATTTTGCAAGGAAAAAAATTTATTAACTATAGATAGGTAAGTATGCCTTGAACTAAGTCAAATATAAGTAGTAAGTATAAAATTTAAAGCACGAAATTTTTGCAAATATTTACTCATAGGTTTGTTATTTGAGTAACTTAATAATTATTGTTCTAGCTCTACACATATTATTTGTTCTAGCTTAGAATAAGTTCTAACTGCCATAGATTCTGAACTTTTTCCACTCTATTTGAGTGTTTCGGTTGTGCACTAGCCATATGCACAACTACTGTCTATTTTATTGATCGGGGAGGCATATGCACTGTTCTAACAATATTGTTCTTTATACAATCTTATTAACGTATGAATATGACAATAAAGTGCTTTTACGACATTATAGTTAAGACAAAATTTAAGATTTAAACCGAATCTGATGATATTCGTAATATATAAACATTATTCGAAATAAGACTTTGTCCGAAGCAAAATAATAGAATTTACTCTATTCTCATCAGATTTACTGTCAAATAAACATGTAATTTCTTCAAAAAATTCTGAACACCAATCGGTTAATTTTAATTTTGATTATATCTGAGCTCCATCAGATAATTTCAGTTTGTTGTCTAAATGCAATCACCAGGCTTTATATTAGATTTAATTTTAAATTTTATTGTATACGTAAACAGAACCTAACAACTCATTCACTCATTACGCAAAACTAATAAAATAATATTAACAAAAAGTTAAAATTTCTTGTCAAAATTTCAAAAAATTAGGCTTAAAAGACAGATTTTGAGAATTGCAAATACATATACATCAATGTTATGTACGTATAATAGTCAGCATTGTTGTATAATAGAACACTTATGGTAACTTTTCAAGGCGGCAATATTATGTTTATTATTATATACTTAGCACATCTATACCCACAATGTAGATCACATTTTTTTTAAGTATTCCCCCGCAGAAATATAAAATTGGCGTAGAAATTTTGTTTTTTTACGTCAAAATTTTTGAGTTCGCAAAATGTGATCTTGAATTTTGTTTTTTCTTTTTTCTTAAAAATTTAAAAAATGCTATTAATAATAATTATTATGAAACAATACTGGACACAAATAAGTATTCATATACACTTAAACAATAAAAATGATCAAAGTCCAGAAAATTTACTTATTTTATGTTTGATTCAAAATTTTATTCAAAAATTTTGCTTATTAATAGCAGAACACAAAAAATATTTACGCATATTTTGGAATAATTCATTTATATTGCGAACTCTGACATAAGAGCCTGTAAAATAAAAATTTTAGGTAATACAAGATTTCATTCAAGAGGCTCGTCAATTTGAGCTATTTAGCATTACAAATTAAGAAGAACTCTCTTAATGACTGAATTTAAATCTAAAGTAAAATATTATTCTAAATTGCTTTTCTTAAATTAATTTTTAATTTAAACATTTAAGTACTTATGCTATACTTAAACTGTTTCAATTATAATTTTACATGAATTTTGGTATCAGTTTGGCATGCGACATTAAATGTTAAAACATATAACATGTATATATCTAGATATCACATAACTCAATTGAAATTAATTACAATTTAAACATTTAAATGAGAAAAAATTTAAAACATAATCATCTAATTAAAAAATCTGCTCATAATTTTTTGCATTTTATACACAATTTAAGTTTTTATTACTTACATACTTAAAGGAATTTATAATAATTATGAAGTGATCGCATAAATCATCTTAATTTTCCATTTCTATCGATTTAAACTAGTTTCAATCAACTAAATTGGCTAAGCTTTCTAAATTCTTTGATAATTGAATTATTGCTATATTGCATTGCATTTCATTCAAAATGTAACTAATAATTTTTTAAATTACTTACATTGAAATACAAAAACTATAAAAAATATTTAAACAAAACTCAACTAACGATCAGTGCTGGATCTAAACACAACTAAAAGCAATGCTAAATATTAAAAGAACAGAATCAAGAGCTATTAATTCCTCCCTTATCCCTGGTAATTAAAAATTTCAAAATTTCAAATTCAAAAATTGCAAAACTTGTTTGCTATACAAAATTCTCCTTTACAAAATTTGTTTACTATTGTAACAATTCAAGAAAATAATCATAAATCCGTGTCCCACATTTTTTGAGTAACATTTCGAAGCAGCAAATTTTTAATTATACAGACTTAATATACATATTTTCTTTAATTACTTGCAAATCTGTTTAGGGTTAGCATTTAAAGTAAAATACACTCCTTTTTCAATTTCGGGAATTCAATAAACCTCCAAGGCCCATAACGATACAATAATCCTGCTCTGCTTACAATATAATGACTGTTATTAAAATATACTTAATTACATATTTATATATTAGTATATTTATGCATACGTAAATGTAAATTATACACGATCAATTTAAAATAAAATCGGCCAATAATTGTCACTTTTTCATAAATTTAAATTGTAAACTCTAATTCTACTCGCATATATATATATATGTTAGTTAGACTATAACCTGTAAAAATTAAATAAGAATATTACTATTCGCACAAATACTAATAATGAAAGAACACTTTTTATATATACATTTGAAATAAAAATTGAATCAATAAATACAATTAATTGAAACTAATTGATAATTGAAGGATAAAAATTGAATTTTGCTACGTTATAGTAAAATTATAGTGTTATACTTTTATATAAATTAATACGAAAAAATAATTCAAATCTAAATATTGATTTTTTTGTGCCACCAATATATAAAAATACTTATATACACTTGCTGGCTGGCCTATATTACACAAAGTTTCATTGTATAAGTAAGTATATACTGTAGCGTATATAATTTTCAGACAAGATTCATTATCACTTCACCCAATTTTAATAAAATCTACTGTTTATTTATGAAAAGTAAATAAACTAAGGAAAGTAAACAATTTGTCGAAACTCATGTACTAGAGACACTAGGTTTTTAAGAATATTAACAAAAATATTGTTCGTCTGTTATTTTTAAGAATTAAAAATTAATAGAAATTATATTACAACTTATTCCTAACACAATTTATTGTAACTATATTGAACAGTATGTAAACTGCATATTTATTAAATCTGTATCAAAAATTTATTTTCGAAAATTCAGTTTGCA